CGCCAGGGCCTCCTGCAGCTCCAGCAAGTGGTACCCGAGCAATGCCAGTATCTTGGTGGGGTAGCCCCTCCACAGTCACGGACACCAAGTTCTCCCCATGCAGCAACACCAGACCCCAAAAGTGCTTTTCTTTGAGCTCTGGTTGCTTCACATTCTTTGGCTTGATCTTTCTCAACTCATCACAATCGCAAAGGATCAAATTCACATGCTTGTCAAACGCCTTAAAGGCGCCAAAGAAGATTCTGCCTTCCTGTAGGATGCATTTCATTCTATAGTCAATGTGCTGCTGCAGTCTTGCTACTCATGCCCACAGTCGTGACTGCTGCTCCACCAAATCCCGTGTCCACAGTTAAAACTTCGTGCTTCTTAAGACCTGGGTGAAGGCTACAGATAAAGGTATGGTGCAGGTTCTTCTAGAAACAATGCAAGCTGAGGAGGCAATGTGGTGGCACATGCCTGTAATCCCAACACTTTGGGAGGCTGAGGAGGGCAGATCACCTGAAGTCAGGAGTTCGAGACCAACCTGGCCAACATGGTGAAATCCCATCTCTACTAAAAATACAAAAATTAGCTGGGTGATAGTGGCATGTACCTGTAATCCCAGCTACTCAGGAGGCTGAGCCAGGAGAATCGCTTGAGCCAGGGAGGTGGAGGTTGAGGTGAGGCGAGATGGCATCACTGTACTCCAGTCTGAGTGACAAGAGTGAGGTACTATCTCAAAAAAAAAAAAAAAGAAAGAATTTTTAAAAAGTACATTGAAAGCATTGGGTGAGGTGGCTCATGCCTGTAATCCCAACAGTTTGGGAGACCAAACTGGGAGGATCCCTTGAGGTCAGGAGTTCGAGACCAGCCTGGGCAACAGCGAGACCCTGTCTCTACAAAAAATTTAAAAATATTAGCTGGTGTGGAGCGTGCTTGTAGTCACAGTTATTCAGGAGACTGAGGTGGGAGGACCATTTGAGCCTGGGAGTTGAAGGCTGCAGTGAGTCAGGATGGTGTGCCACTGCACTCCAGTCTGGGCCACAGGCTGAGAACATGTTTTTGTTTTGTTTTGTTTTTTGTTTTTGGTTTTTTTTTGAGACGGAGTCTCGCTCTGTCACCCAGGCTGGAGTGCAGTGGCGTGATCTCGGCTCACTGCAAGCTCCGCCTCCTGGGTTCACGCCATTCTCCTGCCTCAGCCTCCTGAGTAGCTGGGACTACAGGCGCCCGCCACCTCGCCCGGCTAGTTTTTTCTATTTTTTAGTAGAGACGGGGTTTCACCGGGTTAGCCAGGATGGTCTCGATCTCCTGACCTCGTGATCCGCCGGTCTCGGCCTCCCAAAGTGCTGGGATTACAGGCTTGAGCCACCACGCCCGGCCGAGACCATGTTTTTTTTTTAAATAAAAAATAGATAATGGATTGACTGATAGAGAAAGCTCACTCTGTGCTGAACTTGTTCCAAGTATCCTCATAACAACCTTTTGAGGTAGGAAGAAATTGGAACACACCTGTGGTTAAACAAATTGAGTTTATCACTTGTTATGGGGTAAGGGTGTGAGGACAAGAATCATGAAAAACAATAGGGCAGCTGGGCTTGGTGGCTCACATCTGTAATCCCGGCACTGTAGAAGCCCAACATGGGAGGATCACTTGAGGTCAGCAGTTCGAGACCAGTCTGGTCAACAAGGTGAAGCCCCGTCCCTACTAAAAATGCAAAAATTATCCGGGTGTGATGGTGGGCACCTGTAATCCCAGCTACGCGGGAAGCTGAGGCAGAAGAATCACTTGAATCCAGGAGGTAGAGGCTGCAGTGAGCCGAGATTGCACCACTGCACTCCAGTCTGAGTGACACAGTGATACTCTGTCTCAAAAACAAACAAACAAACAAAACAAGGGGACATCTCAGTAACAAAGTGTTACAAAAGACACATAGGATTTGGGCTTGCATTAGGTGATTTGGAGTAGGGTTTAAGAAAATGAGGTTTTCTGGATTGGATGCTGTCTATGAGCGAATACCCTGACAAACGTTATTTAGAAGGAGGGGGCTGGGTGCAGTGGCTCATGCCTGTAATCCCAGCACTTTGGGAGGCCAAGGTGGGCGGATCACGAGGTTAGGAGATTGAGACCATCCTGGCAAACACAGTGAAACCCCGTCTCTACTAAAAATACAAAATATTAGCCGGGTGTGGTGGCGGGCGCCTGTAGTCCCAGCTGCTCGGGAGGCTGAGGCGGGAGAATGGCATGAGCCCAGGAGGCAGACGTTGCAGTGAGCCGAGATTGCGGTACTGCACTCCAGCCTGGGCAACAGAGCGAGACTCCGTCTCAAAAAAAAAAAAAAAAAGAAAAGAAATGTTTGGCCATTTTTGTAGTTTGAACAATGCTCATGTTTTTTCTGGGTTCAGACATGATTCGAGTGGTTTTGTTATTGTCTTGATCCATCATGGTCACATAGTGGTCTTGTTTGATGCTGTTCTGTGAAGTTTTTATGTTCAATAAGAGAACACACTAAGGTCTATTTGTGAGTTCCAGACCATCTCCTGAATATCAGGGGCTGTTTTTCTTTTAGAGCCTGGTTTCGAATCCAGGTTTGTGTGACTGGAAACGTCCCCTGTATTACTTCTTGATCACAGGAACTTGAGAAGGTGGCTGGCAGACTAGGAATTTCATCTATGAGCTTATTTCATCTACTTTTTTGTGTGTGTGACGGAGTTTTGCTCTTGTCACCCAGGCTGGAATACAATGGCGCAATCCTGGCTCACTGCAACCTCTGTCTCCTGGGTTCAAGCAATTCTCCAGCCTCAGCTTCCCAAGTAGCTGGGATTACAGGCACCCGCCACCATGTCCAGCTAATTTTTGTATTTTTAGTAAAGACGGGGTTTCACCATGTTGGCCAGGCTGGTCTTGAACTCCTGACCTCAGCTGATCTGCCTGCCTCGGCCTCCCAAAGTGCTGGTATTACAGGCGTGAGCCACTGAGCCCGGCCTTTATCTACTATGTTCACCTCCTACTCAAGTCCAATCCCTAACAGTTCCTGGGTAACTGTAGGCATTTCATAATATTTGTTGAATGAATGAAATGGCTGTCAAGAACTCCAATTATTGCTTGAGTGCAAGTCACAAGCTCCATCACCTATCAGTATGTGATTTGATACAATATGTATTAACAGCTAATCCACAATCCATATTCAAATTTCGTTACTTGTCCCAATATTGTCCATTACAACTATTCCACCACCACCACCACCACCCCAGTCCAGGGTCCTATTTAGAATCACACACCATGTTTTGTTGTCATGCCTCTTTAGTCTTCTTTAACTTCTTTAAACTGGAACAGTTCCTCGGCTTTTCTGTTTTTCATGACAATGAATTATTTTGTAGAGAGTGTCCTTCATTTGGGGTTCTCTAGCGCTTCCTCATGAGATGTGCACGGTGCACTTCTGACAGAAATACCACAGAAGAGATGTATCCTCAGTGCATTTTATTAGGAGGCCCTTGATCTGACCCACTAACTAGTGGTGTTAACTTTGATCACTTTGATCCGTTTGTTCTGCTAGGTTACACCTCTGTAACATCACCGTTTTCCCTTTGTAAATCAATAGGTAATTTGTGGGAGACACTTTTACTGTTTTAAACATCCCATTTCTATAGTTCTACCACACATTATTGATTTTCTAATTCCACCATGTTTTGTCATACCCTACCTTGTTTTAACCTGATGGTCTCTCTTAGCTGAGAGAGCCAGACAGACTCCATTTTAGTTCCTTCACTTACAGCCCCTTTACCTCCCTCCCTTAAGGGCATAACTAGAGTAAACTGACTCAAAGCATGTCCAGAAATGCACTTACTGATAAGATACTGAGGCAAGCTGCACCAGCAGCTCCTGGGGATGCGCTCCCTGGATGGCACCCAAAGCCCCTGCATTTCTCTCTTTGTGATAGTTTAAGCCCCTGCACCTGGAACTGTTTATTTTTTTGTAACTGCTTTTGTAACCAATTAATTTTTTAACTTTTTGCCAGTTCTGCTTCTGTAAAATTTTTAGTAGAGACAGGGTAAAAATTGCTTCAGCTAAACTCCCCCCTCCCCTATTTAGACCACGGTATAAAAACAAAACTAGCCCCTTCCTCGGGGCCGAGAGAATTTCGAGCGTTAGCCGTCTCTCGGTCACCGGCTAATAAAGGACTCCTGAATTTAGCTGTCTCTCGGTCGCCGGCTAATAAAGGACTTCTGAATTCGTCTCAAAGTGTGGCATTTCTCTCTAACTCACTCGGTTACAACAGTTTATTAGTTGGCATTCTACTAAAAGGAAGACTTTCCCTTCACCCATTAATATACTCACTTCTTTATGTCTGTAAAGACTCATGGATTACTATTTTATTCAATTAGTTATACTGTATTACTATTACTCCATATTTTGATTCTGAAATTGCCCTGACTTGGCCAGTGGGATCTCTTTAAAGACAGCTCCTGTGTTCTTTGACATATTCCCATGATTCTTATTACCATCATCCTTATATTCTGGTGTAACAAGATGTTCCAAGTTTATCTGGTACTTTCCGGAATGTTTTCTTCCTCTTTCTTTTTTTCTTTTTGAGACGGAGTCTCACTCTGTCGCCCAGGCTAGAGTGCAGTGGTGCGATCTCAGCTCACTGCAATCTCCGCCTCCCGGGTTCAAGTGGTTCTCCTGCCTCAGCCTCCCGAGTAGCTGGGATTACAGATGTGCGCCACCACGACCGGCTAATTTTTGTATTTTTAGTACAGAGGGGTTTCACCATGTTGGCCAGGCTGGTCTCGAACTCCTGACCTCATGTGATCCATCCTGCCTCGGCCTCCCAAAGTGCTGGGATTACAGGTGGGAGTCACTGCGCCCGGTCGGAAATCAGTTTTTTTCTTTCAGGAGCCCCGAACCCAAGTTCTTTGAAAAGCTGCCAAAGAGCTCCAGGGTTCCTCCGCTTCCTGCCCGCAGGCGGAACCTTAGAGTTTAGGACATGGAGATAAACCTCTTCCGGTTGGGGCCGGAAGTCCCTCCGAGAGAGGCGGCTTCGCGTCATGTGACTGGAGTCCGCGTAGGAGGGGTCAGAGGTCCTACCCAACAGATTGACGCGGCGATAGTATTGGCCGTGTAGCCGAAAAACTGATTGACTGGGCGGCCTCCCACGGCGTTAACTGCGCAGAGGCAGGTATGTGAGGGGCTGGGGTTGGGGCGGGGACCGCCAAGGTTTAGGGACGGGGGCGGGAGACCCGGGTCCGCCTTCCCGGGACACACGGGCTTCAACATCTGAGCCCAGGGGCCCAGAGACAGCAAGACCGGTGGTGCCTCTGGTCCCCGCAAAGAGGACGGGCTGGCGTTGTGGTTCTGCGTCCCATGATTACAGATTGGGGAAACTGAGGCCTTGAGAAAGAGAAGAGCTCCCACAAGCTCTCCTTTCGAGGCATGGGCACTGATTCCCATTCTGTCCCCCGTGCGAGGCCGCCTGTATCATCTGGGAGTGCATTTCACGAGTTTGCCCTGAGTGGAGAAGCAGAGGCCGGGGAGCGCGGTGAACAGAGTTGGGCTGAGAGTAAGAGACCTGGATTCGAGACTTCTCCACCGACAATTTTGCGTTCTGGGCCAAATCTCTTTCCTGTGCTGGGCCTCAGTTTCCTCGTGTCTAAAACGGGGCAGTGTTTCTCAAAATATGGTTCTTACACCATCTGCTTTGAAATTCTCTGAGATGCCGGCTTTACAGTGCGGGACTCAATTCAGACTTCTGGTTTAGAATCTGAACTTATGCCTAGGAGGGTCCTGTATATACTGATGTTTGAATCTCATTGATTTTAAGTGCTTTCCTGCTGTGAGCACTAGATATCCATTCTTCGCTTTGAGGCAGCTGGTGCCAGGTCAGGAACTTTGAAAGAACTGGAATGGTTAGCTCAGTAAAGACAGCACTGGAAGGGAATTAACTTTTTAAAAATTGAAAATAGGCCGGGCGCGGTGGCTCAAGCCTGTAATCCCAGCACTTTGGGAGGCCGAGACGGGCGGATCACGAGGTCAGGAGATCGAGACCATCCTGGCTAACACGGTGAAACCCCGTCTCTACTAAAAAATAGAAAAAACTAGCCGGGCGAGGTGGCGGGCGCCTGTAGTCCCAGCTACTGGGGAGGCTGAGGCAGGAGAATGGCGGGAACCCGGGAGGCGGAGCTTGCAGTGAGCTGAGATCACGCCACTGCACTCCAGCCTGGGCGACAGAGCGAGACTCCGTCTCAAACAAAAAAAAAAAATTGAAAATATTGTTAATGGCAAAGGGGACTTCCACTTCATCTTTAGGCTAAAAGAGGCAGAACTAGGACTAACAGGTGAATTCTACAAGAAGACAAGATTTTTGCTTAATAGAAGAACTTAAATGGAAGAATCATCAGAGTTGACCAGCGATGGAGTGAATGGATTGCCTCCGTGCCTCCTTTCGAGAGAGGTATATAGGTATTAGATGAAGGTCCTTTCCAATTTGAAAGTCTGTGATTCTAAGGAGTTGTTCTGCATCTATCTGGTGCTGACTCTGCCCTTAGGGCAAATGTGACTTTTTTCTTCTCTCTTTTCTTGACACTTCCATCACTTTAGCCTACATCTCCTGTAAATAAGGCCAATGCCTCTGACCTTACGTAATCTCTTCCTGGTTGTCCTGGGCACCATCCTTCTTTTCAAGGACTTTGATCTGATAGACGCACCTTAAATGTTTGTTGAATGAATAAGTAAACTGGGTCCCACCCCATGGGTTAGTAGCTTTTTTCTAAGAACAACTTGGAAATGCCTCTGAAGATTTTATGTTTGACCAGGAGAAGCCAGTGAACTCTCAGTCACAAAATTGAGGACTCCCAGTTGGGAGGACCCCTTGAGGTTGTTCAGACCAGCCTTCTCCTCCCTGAAACATAATCCCTGCTTGAATCCTGTCTTCAGCAATATGTGTATACATGTGAGAGAGTTTTTGCAGTCTGTTGGCTAGCTTTCCGTGCATCATATAAAAACAGTCCTCTTATAGACTTGACTTGCCAGTTCGCACACACCACCAGTTCCAGCTAATTTTGTGTGTGTGTGTGTGTGTGTTTTTTTTTTTTTTTTTTTGAGACGGAGTCTCGCTCTGCCGCCCAGGCTGGAGTGCAGTGGCCGGATCTCACTGCAAGCTCACTGCAAGCTCCGCCTCCCGGGTTCACGCCATTCTCCTGCCTCAGCCTCCCCAGTAGCTGGGACTACAGGCGCCCGCCACCTCGCCCGGCTAGTTTTTTTTTTTTTGTATTTCTTAGTAGAGACGGGGTTTCACTGTGTCAGCCAGGATGGTCTCGATCTCCTGACCTCGTGATCCGCCCGCCTCGGCCTCCCAAAGTGCTGGGATTACAGGCTTGAGCCACCGCGCCCGGCCGTGTGTGTGTATTTAGTAGAGATGGGGTTTCACCATGTTGACCAGGCTGGTCTCGAACTCCTGACCTCAAGTGATCCGCCTGCCTCAGCCTCCCAAAGTGCTGGGATTACAGGTGTGAGCCACTGTGCCTGGCCTCTAGCATACCTTTAGTTTTCTAATCAAACATTATTATGTCCTTATTTTGTGCATTACAGAGCTCGCCTAAGTCACTTTTTCAACACCTGCTAGAATGCTTAGGAATGTTTATGTTATCTTAGGGAGCAGAGGCTCCATATTATGACCCAGTTCTGCTGACTTGCTCCCCTGCCCCCACAAAAAAAAGGTTAGGGTTGAGCCAAAACTTCCTGCCAGTGTTTATCGACTTGTATTTCCCAAGATTAAAAAATAAAAAAGTTGTGAAATGCTTATTCAGATCTTATCCAGGTACTGGGTAAAATGATCTTAATTTGTTGGAGTTTTTAGAACTTCTTGATCTAAAAGTTTCCTTTTAAAGAAGCATCTGAATTAACATTCTCATTAAGTGTGTTCTTCAGGCCACTGGTCTGAAGAAATGGCTCTGAAAAAAGGATTTGATGCTAACAATAAGTTTGAGAAAGCCACATACCATTATTCTTTCTTGAAGCTTCTCAATATGTAATACCACATTAAAAGCACTGAGAGGTCCTGCAATAAGGAAATGTGCTTTATAAGCCAAGATAATAACTTGTTTCATTTGTTTAATCTACTTGATGTAAAATCTTTTTTTTTTTTTTTAATTGAAGCACACATTAGCAAATTCTGACCTAGAGTGGGGATCCTCTTACTGTATATAGCCTGTGAACCAAACTTGGACCTACTGCTTGTTTATATGGTCTGTGAGCTAAGAATGCTTTTTACATTTTTCTTTTTTTTTTTGGACGGAGTCTCTCTCTGTCGACCAGGCTGGAGTGCAGTAGTGTCATCTTGGCTCACTGCAAGCTCCGCCTTCCGGGTTCACACCATTCTCCTGCCTCAGCCTCCTGAGTAGCTGGGACTACAGGCGCCCGCCACCACGCCTGGCTAATTTTTTGTATTTTTAGTAGAGACGGGGTTTCACCGTGGTAGCCAGGATGCTATCGATTTCCTGACCTCGTGATCCACCCGCCTCAGCTTCCCAAAGTGCTGGAGTTACAGGCTTGAGCCACCGACATTTTTCTTTTTTGTTTTGAGATGGCGTCTGGCCGTGTTGCCCAGGCTAGAGTGCAGAGGCGTGATCTCAGCTCACTGCAAGCTCCACCTCCTGGGTTTGCACTGTGTTAGCCAGGGTGGTCCATCTCCTGACCTCGTGATCTGCCTGCCTCGGCCTCCCAAAGTGCTAGGATTACAGGCATGAGCCACCATGTCTGGCCTGCTTTTTACATTTTTAAATGATGGGAAATAAAAGAATAATAATATTACATAGGTGACAATTACAGGAAAATAAAATTTCAGTGTTCATTTCAGCCACACCCATTTATTTATATTTATACATATATATTTACATATTTTCTTTGGGTACTTTAATGCTACTCAGTGGAGTTGATTAGTTGCCATAAAAACCATATGGTCGACAGAGTCTAAAGTATTTACTCTGTGGCCCTTTACGGAAAAAAATTGCCAATTCCTGACCTGCATCATGTACTTTTTTTTTTTTTTTTTTTGAGACAGTGACTCGCTCTGTTGCCCAAGGTGGAGTGCAGTGGCACAAACGTAGCCTACTACAACCTTGACCTCCTGGGCTCAAGCCATCTTCCCACCTCAGCCACCTGAGTAGTTGGGACTACGGGCACATACCACCACACCCAGCTAACTTTCAAATTTTTTGTAGAGACGAGGTCTCACTATGTTGCCCAGGCTGGTCTCAAACCCCTGAGCTCAAACGATTCTCCTGCCTCAGCCTCTCAAAGTGCTGGGATTACAGGTATGAGCCACCACTCCCAGCCATATATTGTTTTTCAACTTTTTATTTTATTTGTTTATTTATTTATTTTTGAAACGGAGTCTTCCTCTGTCTTCCAGGCTTGAATGCAGTGGCGCGATCTCGGCTCACTGTAACCTCCACCTTCCGGGTTCAAGCTATTCTCCTGCCTCAGCCTCCTGAGTAGCTGGAACTACAGGCGCACACCACCTCGCCTGGCTAATTTTTGTATTTTTAGTGGAGACAGGGTTTCCCATGTTGGCCAGGATGGTCTCGATCTCCCGACCTCGTGATCCACCTGCTTCAGCCTCCCAAAGTGCTGGGATTACAGGCTTTAGCCACCGTGCTTGGCCCCTTATTATTATTTTTTAGATGGAGTTTCACTCTTGTTGCCCAGGCTGGAGTGCGATGGCACAATCTCCGCTCACTGCAACCTCTGTCTCCCAGGTTCAAGCAATTCTCCTGCCCCAGCCTCTCAAGTAGCTGGGATTACAGGCATGTGCCATCACACCCGGCCAATTTTTATATTTTTAGTAGAGATGGGTTTCACCATGTTGGCCAGGCTGGTCCTGAACTGCTGACCTCAGGAGATCCACCCGCCTTGGCATCCCAAAGTGCTGGGATTACAGCCGTGAGCCACTGCGCCCGGCCCTTTTATTTTGAAATAATTTTAACCTTATACTAAACTTGCAAAAATAATCCACAAACTTTCTGTGTATTTGTCATCTAACTTCACCTAATGTCAAAACTGTACATAATTATATCAAAATTATCCAAACAAGAAATTTAACATTAATACAATATTACTAGCTAATCTAGAGACTTTATTCAAATTTTGCCATTTGTCCTACTATATCCTTTTTCTGTTTCA